AGTAGGGACTGGGTTGAAATGGGCGGTAGGTTCGATATTAAGGAATTCTTTAATGATGGAATCAATGTAGGAAGGTTGGGATAATGAGATAGAGTGATTATCGAAGTCTTGTTCAAGCTTGATACCAAGGAAAGAAGATATTGCACCTTGATCCCTTAATTTGAAACGAAGAGAGAGCTGGGAGATGAACTTGCGAATCACAGACTGAGATTTTGCTGCAATAATGAGGTCATCTACATGCACTGGGACGACTACACGTACACCATTGGGGTCATAGATGAATACAGAGTGGTCACATTCCAAACGAGCGAAGCCCATATCTGCTAGAATGCTGTGAAGCTTCTTTGCCCATATGCGTGGTCCCTGTTTTATGCCATAGAGACCTTTTAGTAGTTGTAGAACCCATTTCTGTCCTTTTGGCGAGTCAACATACAAGCCTTCTGGGACTTCCATAAACACATCTGCATCAATAGAGCCATTAAGAAATGCTGTAGAGATGTCAACAGAGTGCAGGAGCCAATCCTCTTGTGCAGCTTTTGCTATGATTGTGCGAAGGGCAGCAAATCGGGCAGTTGGTGCAAAGGTATCTGTAAAATCGATTCCTTCCCTTTGGGCATATCCTTTAGCAACTAGTCGTGCCTTATAGCGTTCAATTTTGCCATCTGCATCGCGTTTAATCTTGAAGACCCATCGTGATCCAATTGCCTTGTGTCCCTCTGGTAACTGGGTAAGACACCAGGTCCCATTCTCTAGGTGAGCTTCAATTTCCTTAATTGCAGCATTGATATACTTGTCACCATCAGGACGTTCTGAGGCTTCAGCAAGGGATTTAGGTTCGATTGAGTCCGAGATGTTCAAAGCAAGATCAACAGCAGCTAGGAGAGGAATGGTAATGTTCATATCATGAGTGGAATTGGGATTTAAAGGATGTGAATCGTTAGATTTGGGAGTTTTGCGCTGGAATATGGTGGGTTTGTAGTGGGAGGAGATGGTAGAGGATGGATTGATAAGGGAGATGGCTGTAGATGCTTGCTCAGGTGTGCTATGATTACGATTGTGTCGCAGTCTTGAGGTAACTTCTTCTCTCCTTTCGAAATGGCGAGTGTCAAGCAAAGAGCGAACCTCTCGGCACATTGGGGGAGACTGGCTGGGCTGGTCCTGCTCTTGCTCTAGTTCTCGTTGTGGCCTTCTAGGTAGATGAAGCATAATTTGTGGCTCAATAATATCGCTTTGTGACTCTAAATCGAGATTAGGAGGAAAGGGAGGAGAATCAGAGGTATTTGGATCAGGGACTGAGTGAGTGATGCGTGAATCTGGGGGAAGGTTGATGGGTGGAGAAGGTAAAACAGGAGAGGAGGGTAGAGGAACATTTGTGGGATCAATTGCAGGGTCTGATGAGGTAGGACGAAGGTCTCTAGGTTCTTGGATGAGGGGAATCAGATCATTGTCAGGTAGGAGATGGGATTCAGGATTGAAATTGTCAACACGTGGTAGTGTTCCAGTAATTGTTCCTGGAAATATACTTTCATAGAAGACTGCACTATCTGAGACGAATTCTGAGCGCTTTTCTGTGTCCCAAAACACCCAACCTTTTGCCTCCTCAGCATAGCGAAGGAAGATACACCTCTTGGCACGCGCTCCAAAGGTGCCGTGACGCTGATCCTTTTGAAGGTGGACATATGCGAGGCATCCCCAGGTCCTTAGATGTTTTACTGACGGTGTTTTACCATAGAATAGTTCGAATGGAGACTTGAAGCTACGAGTCTCAGAGGGAGTACGATTGTTGACATGAACGAATGTTGATGCAGCATCTGTCCACATTGAAGGAGGGAGTTTTGC